TTATTCTAGCGTTTTGGAAAGCTCTCAAGATAAGCTATAAGAATATGCAATAAAATGTAGGGGGTTCCATTTAAAAAAATAAGTTTGACCTTGAAATGACCTTGAAGGACATGGTCAAGGTCAAAGTCAAAGTCATCATCTTACTCCCCGCTTGAAACCATACAACTTTGCTATTGGACATTTTCTCCAAAATGTATTCTAACTGAAGATATTATGGAGGTCCGATACTTTTCGATGACCCTGTATAATGTACCCTTATATTTGAACTGAAAGAAATAAAAAAACTCTTCTTGAGTATCATCAATATTTAACGTAAAGGATAATAAGAATTCAAGCACAGGTTGAATAGTGCTATTAGAACTATTAAAAAATAGTGACCCAATCTCACAATGAGAAGAAATTTATTAATCATCAAACGCGTTTTGGTCTAATTTCGCAGACCCTCTTCAGTGGTTACAAGTTGGAAACAAATTATATCTAAGTGTCACAAAATGTAAAAGTCGCAATAATCGGTATTACAAAGGTCGTTACAAAAGTTGTCGCTGCAAGTTTTGCTTACGGGAATCGGAAGCATCAATGTAAATAATTACAAATAGTCGTTAAGACAAAGAAATTTTTCTCCCTGGAAGACATTAGTAATATGTTATAAAATTGGTCACTCCATCGCACGTACTAAGATGCTGTGGTGTAATTATCTAAAAAACGTATTGAGATACGTTTCCCAGAATATTTGCAGTAAGTTATATTTTATTGAATGTCAATGTAATGTTATATTAATGTCCGATATTATAGAGTAGCAATGTTAATATTACTAAAATATTGGGGCAACGTAGCAAAATAGTTACATTTTTGTAATAGCAATATCATATTGCAGTAATGTACCAAATGTATGTATGAAAATTTAATGTGAAAGCAACATGTTGTACTATATTGATGTAACATTGCCTGCTAAGATTGTATTGATTTTGAATGCATATATAAATATAATATTTTCATATAATGAAATTTATATCATGCGCATATTATTCGAAGATGCGCAGAGAAGACACATACGACTCTTATAGAAATATCATACTAAGAATCATTGATAATTACTTATTTTCAGTATTAAAAATACTGGATAATAAGTAATTATCAATGATTCTTAGTATGATATTTCTATAAGGGGAAGATTGAAGTATGCACAACAAATATATATAATAAAATAAATATATATATATATAATTACAACATTTGTTCACATACTGACTAAATATTTATCCACAGAGCACGTACCCAGTAAACAGAGTGACGTCAAAATGACGTCAAAAACTGGTGATTATTGATGAAGTGACGGCAGATGACCAAAAATAAACGTATATAAAAGGTCTTTTCTGTGACGTCTTAATGACGTTGTCGGAAAACATCATAATGTCGTGATTTTTTAGTCATTTTTAAATTAATATTTCTAAGACAATTAAAAATATGAAAACATTAATAGTTACCCATTTTACATTAATAGTTAGCACACTTTATCCGAGGGATATCCGACAGACATCATTTTTGGATATCGCAATATCTAGAAGATATCAAAGATGATCTCAGATATCCTGAGGATATCCAGCAGAAGCACTAATGTCCGCATATGTGAGATCCTATGGATGTCTCAGACGATGTCGAGAAGATATCCGATGCAGAGCGACAAATATCGCACGATATTTTGTCATCACTCCCACGATATCGTATGGATATTTCATTTCGACTATCGCAGACATCTATGGGCGTCCTGTGGGCGTCCTGTGGACGTTTTTAGGAGGAACAACGTCCTCCGCCCTTATAGAAATATCATACTAAGAATCATTGATAATTACTTATTTTCAGTATTAAAAATGCTGGATAATAAGTAATTATCAATGATTCTTAGTATGATATTTCTATAAGGGCGATAGGACGTTTCTCGGACTTTTGCTAGAGATTATTTAAATGAAAAGGGGAATTGTACGATCATGGACAGAAAAATTGTCTGTCTTTTTGTGTTTAAATTTCTGAATACATCCTTTTGTTGAAAACCAAATTTTAAAATTAAATAAAAAAGATGCTTCCTGAAACTTATTGCAAAAAGTCGGACAACTTTACTGTCCACAATAGTACATAAAAAAATGAATATATATCGCATATTATATATGTCCTTTTATTACATATTACAAAGGATACTTGTAATAAAATATTTCAACAAAATAAAGATATGTATAAAATCTGTATAAACTTTAAGCTGCTATATCCTTACTGCGGCTATTCCGTTTTATGTCAGAAAATAATGCGAGAAATTGCAGGTCAATTCCCCTATAGAAATATCATACTAAGAATCATTGATAATTACTTATTATCCAGTATTTTTAATACTGAAAATAAGTACTTATCAATGATTCTTAGTATGATATTTCTATAAAGGTTATACATGGAATTAAAAGAATATACGTATAAAGCGAAACTCTCGTGATTGATTCAGCACATGTGCAAACATGTCCGAAAAATGTACTATAACAATCAAAAATTAAAATACTATAAAAATAAACTAATAGGAATCATGAGCAGGTAAGTTAAAAATTAAATCTAATTTTCGGCTACTTATTATTTGAAGTAAAAGTACACACTCTGTTCGAATAGTTTTGCAAACATGCTAAATTGATGTCAAGTTATGCTTTAAACATATATTCGTTCAATTTGCTCTATAACATAATGTAAATTGACATGCGACTTCTCACTTATGACATTATAAAAGACATATATATTGGTATGCGTAAAAAACTTAAAGTTACATAAATAAAAAAATAATACTTTGTATATAAAATATATGTGAGGAATGTAACAACTTTTTAAACTATATTTCAAACATAGGAATAATGGGACAAAACATAAACCTCTACTGTGAGGTGAGTTGTGAAATATCGTTGCGAAAAGACTGCTTCGTTCTACTCGGTTGTTGTTTTGTCCTTTTATTCCTATGTCCATGCTTTGCAAAAACTACAAAGAGAAATATGTTTTACAAATAACAAAATACTTAAACTTAAACAAACAATGTAATACTGTTGAAATCACGTTAGTTACTTATTACCTCCCTTATAGAAATATCAGTATTAAAAATACTGGATAATAAGTAATTATCAATGATTCTTAGTATGATATTTCTATAAGGGCTCTTGAAATTGCTTTTTAAACTCCTGTGTCCTTTTACCTATGTCTGTATTAATAATATGTATAATAACGTCAAAAGAGAGAAATAGCATTGTGATAGACATGAAATTAAAACTATACATGAACAAAGTGAAATTGATGATTGATTCAACATACCTGAAAAAATATCCGATCTACTTTAACCTTAACAGTTAACAAATAGCCGTAAAAATGATATAACAAAAAATATGACAAATGTTAAGTTAAAAACATCAATTGCATGTTAAACTAATTTTCGGCTATTTCTTGATTTGCTGAAGTTAAGATGAATAATTCGGACCCAGCAAGAAATGGTAAGTGGAATAAACATCGCATTGACGTCTTTTAGACGCTTTAGCCGTTTAAATAGATGCCAATCCAATGTCTATTCAACTGCCATTTCTTCCTGGGGATATTGTTCCAAGTGTGCTGAATCAATCACGAGTTTCATCTGCAGCAAAACGTAAATGAACATGTCATTTCTCGCTTCTGACATTATAATACACACATAAATCGAAAAGCCTGTAAGCGACTCTAAATAAAAAAAATAAGGAATGTTTGGTATACTAAAAATACATGTGAGAAACATAACAATACTATCTTTATACTATCTTTCAAACATAACAATAACAGGATGAAACATAAACCTCTACTATGAGGAGAATAAAGCAGAGTTATGAGGAGAACGTAATCATGTGATACTTATGGTGACACATGGATGACTGACTATATATACATATTGAAGCGTATAAAATGTACGAGATTCTTATGCTTCAATATTACTATGAATATACCTAGACAACATGCATTACTTTTAAAGTATTTGGTAAATATTTAGAAATTGAAAATAATACGTGCTGTTTGGGATAATAGTGCATCTAGAGTATAGAAAAGAAGAGATGTGATACCAAATGTATCAAATAAATGTTGTTTTCTGCGTAACTATTCCGTCCCCTTATTGCTATGTCCATGCTTTCAAGGAACTTTATAGAAAAATTATTGTTAAAAAGCAACAAAATCTAAACATAAAATATTTGTTTTGTCGAAAACACGGCTATTGTTCTTACGACGATTTTTGTTAATTGGACGATTCTTCTTCATTGGAACGTGCTTGCGCATTATCTCTTGATTGTCTCTTATGTCTTTCCTTGGCATGTCTAAACCAATCGGTAATGCATTTTTTTATATCCTGTAATGCTGCATCATTATGCAATTACATTATAATGTCTGAAACATAAGAAATATACATTTAATATCACTGTTTATGAGTATATTATTAAATAATGTACGATGTTGCATTCTGATGATATATACTTTGTACAGTTTTTTGAAATGGCGATTCTATAAATTTCTCTTTATGTTGTTTTGCGCCTGTCCAACTATATAGTAAGGCTACCTTATTAGACATTAAATGTGCCATGATAAAATATGTCGTATTTTTAACGTCTATCCCCTTACATTTAACAAATAGTCGCACCTGCAATTTAAACATCAGCAATAAAGTTATTCATAGATAATCTCACAGAAAAAAAATATATTTTTTACGTATTATGATGGATCGACTTCTTTCGAAATTGTATACGAGGGCTCCCAAGGAGAACAAAAAGTCATAATAATGTCAAAATGATGTCAAAAAGACGTCAAAATGGTGGAACTCACAATGACGTCAAACCGGAGAAAAAAATGACTATAATTTGACATCATTTTGATGTCATTTTGATGTCATTTTGACTAGTACACCATTGATTTGTATTCAGTATTGGGAAAAGCAGTTTCACGAATGCAGAGGTGAAGGAACAATACAGAAACAAATTACAATTACTTTTTATTATAGTGCTTTTGTAGTACACATTATTTTTATCCACAAGAAGAAATATTATATAAACTATATCAATAATAACTAAATTAAAAACTATATTATGTTATATAAACTGCATATATATATAAACGCTATATTTATATTACATTATATTAACTCTGAGGACGGATATCAGTCCTCTTAAAGACATACAGAATACGCAAAAAAAAATTGAAAAGTCCTCCAAATATAGTATCTCAAAATGCCATCTGTCAACAAGATTCAGAAAGAGTTGAAGATTCAATCTCAAACATAAGCACAGTTCAACTTAAAAGATATTTTGCATTTCAAACATTTGAACATTATAGAGAAGTCTTGTTACTTTACCAAGGGATACAAGAGATAACATAGATCTTTCCTAACTTGAAGGACATTGTTTTCTTGAAAACATCAATAAACAAAATTATGTAAACTATGTAAACTTCACAAAATTATGGCAGTACATCATGAATTTTTTTAAATCAAAGAAGAAACTAAAATAAAAGCCTCAAAGGCAGACAAATATATAAACTGTGCAAAACAACTAAAACGAAAAAATAAAAGACAAATAGAATTCATGAGAATCACAGCAAGTTTTCATGGAACATACAAGCTTTTATGGAATTCATATACAGTGAAAAATAACTATAAAAACCCCAAAAGACCTAATTGATCTAATCTGATCGTTGCATGGAAGTATTGAACCATCGTTTCATATGGTCTTCAAATACAGAAATGTGTACGTTAGGAAACTTCTTCAAGCAAACACCTATTAGAGAGAAACAAAGGAGTATTTTAATATTATATATATATATATATATATAGATATATATATATATATATATATATATATATATATATATATATATATGCTTATATATGAAAAAAGCCAAAGTTAATAAATCTGAAGATAACTGTTTAAAAAGTAAGATGATACTCACTTTCTACTAGATTTTTGAGTTTGGACTTCTCAAAACTGAGTTTGATCCCTCCAGAACCTTTCCAACTAATAAGTCGTGCCAATTTATTCCTAAGGAGGGTCGACAAAATAGAGTAAGTGAAGAGAGAGGTTGTCTCTCCCTTCCCCTTCCAAAACAGGTACTTGAGCTACAACACAGAGAAAGCCAGTCAACACTTACTTAATGAATACATATTAGTACCTGCATTATTAACAGTGGTAGAAAACTCACCATTTGACCATACAATATTTTATCATCTAAGTGATCATTAAAGCTTGCAAGAGATTCCTCAGTTTCCAGTGGCAAGGAAGGAAACCCTTCAGGCCGATCAAAACCATTATTATTGGGGAACAACTCGTTCAAAATTTGGGAAATCCCAATATTCTGCCAATCTATCTTTGCTGACAATTCTTGCATGTAATTTATTAGGAGTACTTGATCTGGAGGCTTACCTGCCAAAAAAAACCACATGAATCAAATGGCAGCTTTGGAGTGTTGTAATTTGCCCATAATATAAAAAGTCATACAAACTTGTCAATTACTAATAAAAACAATTTTCATTACTTTAAGGATATAAGAGGATAGAAAATATAAAGACTTACTGCCAGTTGATCCGCAGTTTCTGCATCCTGTTGATGACTGTGATTCTGTGAACAAAACCAAATGTTCAATTCGGAATCAACTGAGCAGTCATTCATTTCCACAAAAATAGGCAATCAATAAAAATACCTTCTGATGAGCTTTTTGATGATGTAGGTCTGTCTAAGAAATCTTTTTTTTTATTCATTCTGAAATAATTATTGTGATCAGACTTTAGTGTGCTTACACCATGAAAATCTGGAGATTGCTCACAAATGTTAGTCGCTTCCGCAATTTTAGATGGCTCAAAATTGTTAGAAAACTTTGTGGATCTCAAAGAAGACCTATCATTCTTAGAAACTGACTGTTTTAATTCGGAAAAAGAACAATTATCTTCTTCTAACATCTCAGATAAGTTTTCATCATTAGTAGTTTCTGGAAAATAAATTACAAGGAAGGACATAAGGACAGTTTGCTAAATGTTGCAGTTAAGTTGTAGTAATAAAAAGTACAAACCAGCCTGTGCAGACTCTTCCTGTAATAATTGGTGGACAGGAGTTGTATCTCTCTTTGATGAGGCAAACAAAAGCTTCGAAATGACAGAACATTTTTGCTTGGACTTAGCTAAATTTTTGGCTTTAGCACTATCGAGTAACCTTTTGAGATTTAAGGGCAGAGTTGAGCTGGGTTCCGGAATGATATGACTTCCCACAGGTTTCTTTCCTCTCGGTTCCTCATCTGACTCCGAATCTGATAAAAGTAGGCGTTTAGGCGGCTTTCTGTTGCGTGGTTTATTGTAGTCTGTATCAACATCTGTTGCAGCAACTGTGTCCTCCTTCACAGCCTTGTTTCTTGCTTTTAAGGCAACATTGAAAGTAGCTGTATGCAGAGACCACAAAAGATTAAATTAAGAAGATAAACTTGCACCATAAAAAAACAGATGCAAAAAACTTACAATAACTGTGATGATATGTAATGCGGAGAAGTTTCCAGACGGACGAGTCATAGTCCGCTAGACTCATCACCAACTTCATACATTTTCCCCTCATGGAATGTGGTGGATAATAACAGAATTCTCTATTCTCGCTAATCCATTTGGTTGGTACAACTTCCACAAGGATTTCCTCTTCATCATTTCCAGGGTCAGACACAAACTCTACCACAGAATACTGTAAAAAATAAATTTAAAGTTAACATCAAGAAAAGATAAACAAGAGCAAGAAAACAAATGACAAACAAGATCTAACCAAAAATTTACTGAGGACCACTGTGAAGGAGAGGAATGCAAAGAAAACTGTCTCCATCAGGTAAAATAACACATTTTTGAAAAAAATCCTGCAACCTACACATGCTTTTAACAGGATCCACATGTGATACCTTAAAAATTCCAATGGATGAGGAAGGAAGTGGATAGTCATAGTAATCTGCTTTACAAAGAAACCTATGGCCTGCTAATAATCACCATTCAGTGCAACTATAACTTCGATTAAAATAAAAATTTTTCCATCTTTTGATGAGAAACAGCAA